TCTCATAAGACTCCCTCTAATCGTCTAATTAGAAATTCATCCTGGTAATTTCCTACAATTAATTTTAGCGATGTCACCCGAGGGGGAGCCCATAACCGCAATTAATTGATTACCGACAAATTAGAAATGGAGGCCTTAGGAATTTTACAATTAACTTTAATTTAAAATCCCTTCTCAAACTTAGTATAATTTAAATGAGAATTTTTACCTATTTAAATATTTATGCAATTCTAAATTAATCCTATGTAAATGCAATAATTAATTAACATGTATAATTAAATATGCAATTCTAAAATAATCCCATGCAAGTACAATAATTGATTAACATGCATAAATAAATAAATAAATAAATAAAATAATGGCATAATGAATTTAAATAAATAAATAAATAAATCCACTATTATGGCCATTAAATATTGAGTTCCCATAAACAAAGAAACATTGTATATTCTTTCCCTGTTCAACTAGAACTCCCACTGCAGTAGAATCCTTGTAGATCTTGTACTGCATGGACACCAAGTAAACTTCTCCACCGCCGTCAGCCCGCCGTCGCCGCCGCCGGTGGTCGGAAAATATTATTTTCTTTTTTTTCTCGCGCGTGTCCGTGCGCAGCTCCGGGCTTCGTCCAGGTTGGTCTTTCGAGGCTCGTTGATCTCTTGTGATCTCTCGGCAATTAATCCACGATCACAACACGAAAAATATAATTTACAAAATTACATAATCCGATCCTAGATCCAACGAATGGATGGACATGTTTTCTAAACAAAATAATTAAATCTATCCGGTCAACCCCCGGGCGAATAATTATTACAAACATTCATCCATCATATTCCTCGACATGTCGGAGGCTTTAAAAACAAATTTAAAACCATACATCACATTCATCAACATTCATCAAACACATAATCGGCCATAATAGTGGATTAAACTAATTCCTGCAAAACCGAGTTATGCAAATATAATCCAATATATATGGTTGCGTTTGAACGCATCTTGACAAATAAAGCCGTAAAAATTCGAACTTGTACAGAACGAATTAAACCAAGCTATACCACTTGTTGGGATCACTGAAGTTCTCGTTATGAACAAATCACGAATTCAATAGCAAAATGTAAACCTATGCGTAGTGGATCTAAAGGTTTGCGTAGAGAACTTACGGCTTAAAATTTATGGCAATATGGCTGATCTTCTGGATGGTCGTACACATCACACCAATGAATTGTTGACTGCAAATCGCGTCTTAGGGTCGCACGAACAAGATCGGATCGAAAACCGGATCAAACGGGTGCAAAAACGGAAAAAGACAAGTTGCAGTCCTGGGACACTTCAGCGGCGCATGAGGGCGTGCGCGGCGTCGTACCGTGGCGATCTCTACGGCGTTGGAAAGCTCTCGTCGAGACGGTCGTCTAGGTATGCTGCACATCTTGATCGGACCTCCGGTTAGTTCTTTACGACCAAATATATTCCGTCTCACTTTACCTAAAGGTCTTCTAGTGTATATCTCAACCACCTCTTAATCTTGTACCAGTAGAACAACAAGAAGAAGATAAAGCTCGAATGGGAATTGAGAGAGAGAAGAGAGGCGTGGGGCGTGATTTCCAAGATGTGGAATTCTTTTTTCTTCCCATGAGCTTAATGATGTATATATAGAGCTACAGTAGGGATCCTTAGGAGATTAGAATTAGGGCTTCTTAATTAATTAAAATACTTGTGAACCAAGCTACTTAGTTTAATTAATTAAATAATATTAAATGGCCCACCAACATAATATTATTGCACTCTCTTTTTTTAGCCCAATTTACAATTGAGACTCCAATAATAATTACTCGATTTATCTCCCCATGTTTAAGATATAATGTCCATTAATTAATTCAATTACTGATAATCAAGAATTAATTAATTTATTATTATTTCACCGAAGCTAGTGCTCGTTTATCACATTATTACTATGTCGGAATTTAATCCACCTGCAGGGTTTAGCATAATAATCCTTCATGAACTCACTCCGGAGACATCATCAAACTAACGCACATGGTGACCGTAAATATCCTAACAACATATCCTACATGTAGCAATATTACCCAAGACAGTGGGTCTATTAGCCCAGTTCACTAATCCTCACCCATGTGAATCAAAGTAATAAATACTACACATATATGTCTGTTTAATATCTTACGGGTTAAGAGTACGCAGTAATTAACTGAGGCCTAGTTCGTTTACGAAGATCAGTATAAAACGAACTGCTCCTCTCTAGGATCCTGTCCAATACATAAATGTACTAGTGCAACTAATCAGTCAAGAAAAACTGTACAGTTGAAACTACAACTGTTCGCGATAGGGTGTTCATGTCCATCTGGGTTGTGAACCACTTATTCTTGTTTCGCGAGTAACTGATAGCATGATCTTTGGTTCGCCCGATGACGACCCACACTATCTAATGCAAAGCAACAGAATGTAGAACTTGTTTAATCTAACATGTTTCTCATTTATGAAGGGTAAAAGTGTAATATCATCCAAAGCCAAGCTTTCAATATATAACACTAAAAAGGCTCACCCCCTTTATATAGGAGTGAGATACCTTACCTAAGGTTGCCCGGATTTGGTGAGCTGGCTGCCTATGTTGCCCATCCGTACTCTGACACACCGCGCGCATGTCAGAGGTGGCGCGGGATGTTGGGCGCTGTCGGAGGTGGTTGTCGCTATCTACCAATGCGTTCTCGACATGTGTCCTTCTGCACATGGATTGAATATTCTTCTGAAATTCCGTTAGAGGCTCTTACACACGCCTGTGACTAGGCCGATCCGTAAAGTGTTAAGTCCGCGAAGTGGTCGACATGTTGAGGTCGACTAACCTGCTCGATCATTTACCTGATCGAATAATGGATTGGTCGACTGCTCGACTGGTCGATCTTCTCGCCACTTGGTTCAGCGCCTCCATAGTACCGCCCCTTCGACCGGTTCAACAGACTGGTTTAGCCTTGTGGGTATAATATCCTATATCATCTACTCCTCCCCCCACTCTGGTCGAGTCTGAATGACTCGATCTAAGAGTGAATTTGTGCTCGTCGCTCTCCTGGGTTGTATTACATTCGGTATCGACCATCTGATGAGTTTATCGCTCACTTTTTCAATTAATTCTTCATTAATTGTCAGAAATAAAGTCGTCTGTCACACGTCCTTTCTGCCGCGCCTGCTTTTCTGCCACGTGTCACACCTGTCATTTCTGTCAGCCACTTTAATTATTACACCCCCTCGCATAACGCGCCCACTTTGAGCTCCGTGTGAATTAATACTTTCCACCGTAAGATCTGGCTTTAATCCGATGGCTCTTATCTTTCAACCCTTAAACTTAGCACAGTATAAAACCCGTACTTAGCGAAATTTCAGAGTTTTTCCACCTTTGCAATTTTCGCCCCCTTTGTGCTCTGAATTTTCCTGCAGCCCTTACTTTTCTTCTCGGCGATTTCTCTTGCACTCTTCTGTGATTTCTTCATCTGCGACTATGAGTAAGTTGTTCTTTGCTTGAAGTTACATTTCCTGTGTCTTAGATTTTGTGCTTTTTAATTTTTTTTAAATTGGTGTCTCGAACTTGCTGACTGAGTGTTCTGAATTTGTGTGTTGGGTATCTGTATTTGTTTGTTAATCATTTTGAATTTTGTTCCTCTCTTAAAAAATCTCCCAAAATTCCTATTCTTCCTCTTTAATTTCTTTAAAATCGCCTCCTTGTAGAACCCTAGGTTTGAAGGTCTTGCCTTTTTTGCGAAAGTTTTCCCCCTTTTTTTGATTTCACTTTGTTTTTTTTTTTTCCAGATTTTGCAACTTCTAGTGAAAACGACCGCCATTCTGGTGTTGATTTGAGCCCTCCATCTCCTTCTTCGATCACTTTCTCCAACTCAGTTCAAATACTGCCCTCTGCACTTGAAGCTGTCCCTCTTTCCATTCTTCGCCCTGGTGATACCATTCCCACCGTCGTCTTTACAGCCCGTGTTTTTTAACCTAATTTCGGGGACACCATGGATAACATTCCCCTCCACCATCGTCGACCTGCCTTCGGCTCACTAGATGAGCCTGAGGAGGACGAAGTCAATCTCGACACTTCCTCTTAACCTATCTTTCCCGCACCTTCGACCATTCCTCCTTTTTCCTCTCAGCCTAACGCATCCACCTCTCTATCCAAAATATCTTCGACCAAAGCTTCCAAATCTACCTCCTCTACTTCCCATTCAATCAACTGGTTAAAGAGTGACAAAGTTTGCCATCTTTCTGGTTGGGCCTTCAATCATCCTTCTTCCGCCGATACTTACGACCACCCTCCTTCCAACTGCTATACCTTCTTCAAGATCCAATTTGACCTCGGCATCCGTTTTCCTCTCAGCCCTGAGCTACTCTAAATCTGCCAGTGGTTCGGGCTTCCTCTAAACCAGCTTCCCCCAAACGCTATTCGCTTCATGACCAGCTTCATTATTCTCTCCCATGTCCAGCTAGGTCGATTCGACCTAGACTTTTTCCATTACTGCTACACCCCTTCCAAACAGGCTCGGGGCCTCTATCTCAAAAGCCGCAATAACGCCCATTTTATCTCAGAC